CTAAGCGTACCTGTTTGTTCCTTCGAGAGCCCTATATCCCTCTCTCGTCCATTTTAATACATTTTGGTGTAGTCGGCAGGATCTGAGGGGAAAAAGATATAGGACTAAGGAACAAACATAGATAGATACAAACAAGAAAGATAGCAGCGCCCGAGCCTGAAGTGCTCCCTGAGTGGGATGAGACGCAGTTTGCCGCGTTAGCTCAGGAGATAAGGAAAGGTGGAGGGCCTGTTGATTCCTGGACTGCTGCGTTGAGAAAAGCCGAGCCTGATCAGGTATTGTCGTGCTTTAAAAAGGTTCCGGTTGCAAAGGATCCCGTGCGTGCTCTACAGAGACGCCTATGGATCGTGTTGGCTGCATGCAGTATGAGCGCGCAGACCAGGCTGAAAGGGAGAAAGAGGGACAAATGAGAGAGTTAACTGAGGCATTAGGTCGGATGACCCTGGCACAGGGTCAGGTGGATATTTTACACCAACGCCTGCAACAAGTAACGGGGGTTGCAGAGCGGGCTGCGATGCAAGTAGCAAAAGCCAATGCCAGCAAAAAACGGACACCATGTCCACGAAAAATAAGAGCATTTGTTGCTACTGCAACAGCTGATAATTGGGATCCCGAGCGATGGGATGGCAATATCTGGGACTCAGATGGTGAGGATATTGATATTTACAACCCAGATAAAGTCGCGGATCCTGATCGGGGATCTCTTATTGATCCCCCTCCGTTAACAACTTCTGCACTCCCTATTTCGCGGAGAAGGCAAGTGCAAGATCCTGCTGGTCAGAGACCACGGCAGTCTGAGCTACTTGTGGACGATTTCACACAGAAGGAGATTAGCGATATACGGGAGCGGATGATGCAGCGACCAGGAAAACCATTAGATAAATGGTTGGTCAGGCTGTATGATCAAGGTGCGGCACAGATGTCCATAGATCATAAGGATTGTCACCATTTTTGTGATTTAAGCACAGATGCTGTAGTGCGGTCTCAATATCGTGAGCACAGGCAGCCACCAATAGATGGGAGAGGCAGTGACACTACCCTCCTAGCCCTTATGGGCAACGGGGTGAACCAGCGATACCCCGATGAAAGCAGCTGGCTGGAAAAACTGGGCCAGTGGCAAACCTTGTCAGAAGCGATCTCTAGAATGCGACAGTTAACTATGAGGGCGGGTGTGTATACCGGGCATATTGATGCACTGGATGACTTATCTTTAACAATACTGACCCGGAATGCTCTCATTAAAACAGCACCCACTCAGTACAAGGCAGCAGTGATGTCATTGTCGTTGAGTATGGTAGGGGAAAGAATAGGAGATGTGGCGTTCAGATTGAGAGAATTGGGAGATCTTGGGGAGTGGGATAAGCCTAATCATGATGGTGATTACACCTGGGACCCAGGAGTGGGATGGACAATTTAAAATTTGGAGGT